AATTCTTTCTATACAAACATGAATTAAAAAAAAAAACTTTGACAGAAACTTTGCTTATATATGGCAATTTTTAAAATTTGAATTAAAAATAAATAGCACATGAAATATTTATTAAAATACTTTTAATAATTGTCATGCAAATTAAATATTATGTTGTAAATGCCCTTTGTTAGTTTTATAATATACTAGCAGTAGAGCCCGGCGTTGCCCAGGGATGTAACAGTAAGAGATAGATCAAGTATCGACCATCATAAAGACTGAAAAATAAAATTGACAAAGATTATTGTTTAAGGTTGACGGACACGCATGTTTTAATTAGGTTTTTTTTTTTTTTTTTAATTGGTCAAACTCAAACAAAAACATTGTTTTCAATCGTTATGAGTCTACCAATTGAATAGAATTTTATTATAAACAATTGTCTTGTAAATGGAATTTTTAAAGCATTCTGAATGTAAAAATAAAGAAAAAAGTGTAGAAGACAATAAGAAACACTACCTGCCAAAAAAAAAAAGTGAAGTTTTGTTGAAATTGGTTGAAAAATGTAAGAAATCCGAACCCATATATGAACGAACACACACACACACACAACCAACCTGGGTTTTATAATAAGTATAACTCGATGTGAGTTGTCCCTCTTTTGTTAATGCCTCTTAATCGTGTTTTCTAATTGATTTCGTGCAAAAACAATTGTTTTTTTTTTTCCAATTTTTTTGTCGCTGTCAGAACCACCGCAAGGTAATTTTACGTAGTCCTGTGAAGTTTTGTTGAAATCAGTTGAAAAATGTAGGAAATCTGATCCAATATATAAACGTACACACACACACAACCTGGGTTTTATAATAAGTATGATATATATATATATATGTTAGTGGTAAATATACACATACATATGCAAAATATATATACATAGGTGCATACACATTCACTTGACTCACTTCTAGCAATTGACTACTACTTCTATGCATTGCTGGTGAATCTTATATCTTTTGTTCTTGTCCTAAGTATTATCGTTCATTACCAACCTTCATGTGATTATTCTATTCAGTAACTTTCCCCAGGTTACAACATATATGTAACACTACTTCCCCGATGTTATTTTTATTTGCCACTACCAACAGGCAAATTGTACATATGGGAACTAGTTAGGACTTCATAGAGATTTTGAGATGTTATGGTGGCTGTAGTAAGAATGATAAGTAAGAATGTGTTTTGGTGTAAAGAATACTGTCGTATGTTTGGGTCAGTAATTGTGGCTAGCTAAGTTTAAGATAAGACAGATTGAAGACCAGCCTCACCCTATCCCCCTTTTGGCCGTGAGCCACATTTTTGTATTTTCAAAATAAATATTACTTCCTTCATATAGGCGAAAACCTATGAGAGAGAGGTACAAAATATATTAAGACCAAACCCCAGGATGCCTTCTCTCCAGGCAGTACCACTCTCCTTTGGGAAGGGGTTGGGTTTATTACCTGGCACCTGAACCATCCCCAAAAGGGAAGTGCTGAGGGGGTTTGGGCAATTTTTGTGTGGTACCCACTTTAAACCTTGTGTCACATTCAGTAGTGACATTTGTGCGTTGAAAAATACAACCTATATAATTAATATGAATATAAAATGTGTCACTCAGCTGATTGATGTTATATTCATCATCCTGATCCCAGAGTTTTATAGATAAATTTTTTTGTAATCATTCAGTCCACTCTTCAGGAGGTTTCAGCAAAATGACTTACAATAAGCCTTTCATATATTACCAGTACAGGTTCTACTGATGTAAGGTGGGGATACACAGGCAAAATTTAGCCTTACATGAATTTATAAAAGATTGTTATAAATGAAAAATTCAGGTCTACAAAGGAATGCTGACTCACTTATCAAAATCAGTATTTCAATAAATGAATATCGGAATACTTATTTAGGAAATTGTGTGTTTCAAACACCCACTTCTTTTTGTTGATCAGGGCATCAAATAAGCACTCCTTCCAATTAGAACTCTGAAGCTATTTATTCTGACAGTAATTTCAAATATTTTTGCAACTGCCATGTATATTTCAGAGATGAGGTATTGTAACTATTTATATTAGTTGGACTGTTGTTCTTATCTTTATTTTCATATTCATATTTTGGCCATTGTATACTCTTGGCTTTCTTCAGGTAATATATGTTGGAATTTTTACATCTATCATAAAGAAGTTAAAACTGGATGCTCTTCACTGTGTTTAGCTTAGCTGAAAGAAAATCAAAGAACAAAGAAAACATTATGTGCAATGACAATGTTTTTGTGTTATGCTTTGTACCATACTTTGAAATCTACTGCATAAAAATAGATTTTTTGTAAATATTTGTGTATGCTTTTTTTTTTTTTTTTTTTTTTCCTTTTCCTTTCTGAAACATTTCCTTTTGCAAGATTTATTTTTTTTAGAAATTGGTTCACAGACTTGGAACATTTTGTTGATGAATAAGTTGATAATTTTATCAACTTGTATATATTTTTGTTAACATCTTTTTGAGTATTCAATGAAATGTTTATAAAGATTAACTTATAAATAGCACAATGTTCTGTAAATAGCCACACTTACTTATTGACCTTCTGTACTGAAGCTTATTTTAGAATAGGCAAGTTAAATCCTTGGATAATAGTGAATCATACATCCTAGGTATGTCTAAAATGTTTTTGCCATGAAAATTAATATTCTTTATATATATATATATATATATATATATATATATATATATATATATAGTGTAACCCGGATATAATAGAGATTTTCTCTGGTCCCAAATTAGAGCCTGTGTTAATGTATATAAAATAGACCAAACCCGGATACAAGAGACTTCTTCTCCGGTCCCGACAACTCTCTATATATATATATATCTTTCTATAACAGGATGACAAATCTAGTTCAATGTTTTATTGTGTGAAAATGTCTAATGATGATCTGGAGTAGGCAATACTTAAGATTAAACAGTGAAAAAAACTTGGGGAAAGTGAATGTTGAAGGGAATAAGGGAAGAAAGAATGAATAAAAAGTAATAATTAGAAGCCCTAAAACGTGTTTGGAGGAGGTTTGAACCTGGAATAATCCAAATAGAATTCATTACGATTTAGTAAGACTAGATCTTTTCCAACTTACCTAGTTGCCTCTGAGATGATATGACAAAAATTTATGGCCTTTTGAAATTCACAAATTCCAAATAATTTTTGGCATGTTTATATAAAATACTACTTGTCTGAAATATTCATTTTCTTAACCAAATTCAGGCTCATGGTTTGAGCTGACTGCATTCTGAAAAGCAGCCATATGTTACTGAACAAAAGTTATACGAGTATCTTATTGAAAAATATGCAATGAATCAATGTCAGTTATATAAACCTGAAGGATGCATTCACGTCTTGCTGCTAATGCTCTGTTACTAACAAACACACAAACACAAGCCCAAGTAGACAAGAATACAGTGCAAGAATCAAGATCCTTTATTTTGTTATAAATTACCACTAGAAAACTTATCTGCCACAAAATTGTCAATATAAAGATTAATAATTCCTTATTCTTTATGTACTTAAACATTCTTCTGTTTGTTTTAAATTTATTGTTAGTTTTTGTTGGTGTGTTCTGTAATGTTTATGTTCCTGCTTCTGCTTCACTTTATCTATGTCAGTAGTTAACTCAATGAGTTTTTCCAATTCCTAATTGCTTAATGCTTCCCAGTGGCTTTCAGATTGTTTCCATTTCTTCATCAACCATCTCAACAAATCTTTCTCTACCAACTTATTCTGCTAATGATTTTCTTAAGTTCTCCATTGATCATAGGAAACTTTTTAAAATCATTAACAATTTCACTGTATATGTTCTGGCAGCCATTTACAATTTCTAGTTTTAATTTATCCCTTGATGAATGTTATTTACATCTACAATGTTTGGAGGGAAGAGAGATGATGCTATTCTAAGGGCACTGTTGTCATTGTTGGCACCCACTTGCATCAAGATTGTTATCCTCTCTTCCTCTTTCTTTTCTCTTCCTGGTGGTGGTGGTAGAGATGGCTGTGACTCAAAGAGAGTCTGACAAGGCCATTCATGTGAATTTGATTTTAGTAGATAACTCTGCACAACAGAGAAGCCCACACACTTGTCTAGAAGCGCTTCCTTTGCAGTTCAAAGGGGTTAGAGACAGGCAAGATCTGGCAAACTTAGTTGCATCAGGCTGTTGAATGCTTGATCTGTGAAGGTCTGCCTTGCTTACACCAGCCCAACTGGTAGCTGCCCTCTTCCGTCAGTTTGGCCATTGAGAGTGTGTAGATTTTTGCCTATTCCACTGTTGGGGTCTTTGGAGGTTGGTAACATTCAGTCTGGCCCTTCCTCTTCAACCTTACCACCAGGTGGCTTCTCTCCAGAGATCAATGGGACAAGTAAGTCCTCTACCATGACAAGAAACAATCATATATATTTCACACTGGATGTTGGAGTGAACAGTTCATTATCAAATGTACCACTTTGACTAGTGCAGCAGTGAATGCAGCAGGCTAGACCTGAATTTGAACTCTGCATGCTGATTGCACTTTCTGTGTCTGTAACTGCTGTAGTAACTGCATATACAGGTACTTCTCCAGAATGTTAACCATTTCATGGTGTGAAAACCATTTTTTTTTTTTTTTAAAGTTATAATATAGGGCATTATGAAAATGACATCAAAGCAAAGATAAAGGTTCGTAGAGTAGATGAGTGATTGTTTTATTTTTTACAGCTTATCAACCTTTTGAAGATTATTTAGAAAATATTTTTCGATTGGAAGAATTTGGGGGAGATGATAATAATAATTTATTGATACAAGTCCTACTAATTAACCCATAGCTGGAGAGAAAAGAGGTGGATTCATATCTTTCTCTAAGTTATTTGCATGTAAGGTATTTGTAAATGAATATAATGAACCTGTGTGGAATTTGAACTCTGCTCTCTGATTTCCAATTCTGAGCAGTTATCCATTACATCACTTGCACATCCAAGCTTACAGCACCTGGTATTCCCAAGTGGTCACCTATCTAGGTAATGACCAGGCTTGACATTGCTTAACTTCACTGATCATATGCGAACTAGTTTTTCAACATAATTGTCATAAGCAGTTGTTGTTTATCGAGATACTTTATGATTAATCCATTCAATACAGCCTGTAACTATCGAGCCACCTGCTTTTATTAAATCCAATGTGCAAGCGCGGTCTCTACAGGAGCCCAGTTCAGCATTGCAGACATCAAAAATACAGGTAAAATTTAGCCTTATATGTGTGGCCAAAATTTTACCACAGTTTATTATCTGTTTTATATAACTTCATATTGTCATAGTTGGCTTGTTCATTGTGTGCTTGAAATAAAGTTAGAAATTCAATTCTTATTTATTTATTACTAAAGCTATACAACATTACAATGAGCAATTAACTAGAATAACAATAGAACAACACCACTTAACCCGTGTAAGGGTCCCAGTTAGCGTCCAGCTGGCAGATAAAAATAAAGCAGGCTGTAACTAAATACAAACCCCACAAACTGACTGGAACCAAGTTGGTATTTATACAGAAATACCTCCATTCATGTACCAGCAGCTAATCACAGCCCAAGCAATGTCTCAAGGTGGAGGAGGCTTTGCTCAGCTTGTTCCACAACTGAGTGTTTGTCTTGACAATGTAATTGTTCTACAGTTTAAATTATTTATTGGAAGAAAAAGACCAAAATCATTTACTTTTCTGCATGACAGCATCCACCTTCATGTTGCAAATGTGATACAGTAAAAGGTTGGAATGGGATGTTGTTCTGTATGCAGCAATTTTCTACATTGGCTACTTTTCAAAATATCACTTGTTCACTAGATGCAACACTGATTTTCTTGTAAGTTCCACAAATTAAAGGTATTGAAAAACTTCCAGTACATTTATCTGAATTAAAACTGGTATTTTTAAAATTTTTTTTTTTTTTTTTTACAATATTGCTCATTTTGTACAACGTGCAAGAGCCACTCAAGGTAGAGCATTACAGATTAAGAGGCACCACCAAGATGCAAGGGGCCACTTGAAGTGAAAGAGAAGGAAAAGATTGTATAAGGAACTGGGAACTCAATACTAAACATGACAAAGGATAAAACTTTTATTCCTATTGAAAAAAACTGGGAAAGAGTGTAAACTGGGTGGTATTACTCTTTTATAATGGATTTCTATACATAGAAAACCTGGGAAAATATTTTGAGGACTGAATAATTATGCTAAGAATTTATAGAAAAGATTTTCTCAATGATGAAAACCTATATAATTGGATACTTACATTATTTGACCTGTTATCCTCATCTTCATTGCCATTGCCATATTCACAATGTTTCAGCTGTTGTACACTCTGGCTTTCTTCAGGTGATTGGAATTTCAAACCAAACCTTTTATACAGTATTTACATTAGTCGGACTATTGTCCTCATCTTTGTCGCCATATTTGTCACAACGTTTTGGCCGTTGTACGCTCTGGCCTTCAGGTGGTTGGAATTTCGAACTGAACCCTTTATTTCGATCACTGGGGTAGACTGTTCTAGTTCCACGTGCCATGTGCCATGTTTGATGGATGTCAGTTATCAGTTATTTCTTGCTAATTTTCCCTCTGAAAGTTCTCCACTGCCTTAACCAGGAATTGAACTCACCTTCTTTGGGTCTGTCACTGGATCTAACCAACGCCTTTATCCTGTGCCATGTGTCCTTGAGGACATCTGGGTATGAACTTCTGAGTATTATAAACCTAATGTTTTCAGCATCATTTTTACCAGTGCTCATATTGCAATTTTTGCTGTTATCATTGCATGTCTTACCCCCTCAAGGTAAGGCTTCAAGAACACCAGAAAGTTGTAACGCGAGGGGAAGTAGAAAAATCAGGCGTGGCTGACCACATATGGAGAGAGAAGGGAGATCACCGCCCCTGTGGGATCATGTTGAGATCATAGACAGGGAACACCATTGGAAAATTAAATAAACTTAAGGAATCAGCACATATGCTAGGCCACAAAAATCTCCTGAGCCGACCAAGCATAGAAATAAATACAATATGGGAACCAGTAATAAGGAGTGCCAGAGAAAAGCAATGATAACAAAGTTGCAATATGAACTCTGGTAAAAACATGCAATGATAACAGCAAAAAATTGCAATATGAGCACTGGTAAAAATGATGCTGAAAACATTAGGTTTATAATACTCAGAAGTTCATACCCAGATGTCCTCAAGGACACATGGCACAGTGGATAAAGGCGTTGGTTAGATCCAGTGACAGACCCAAAGAAGATGAGTTCAATTCCTGGTTAAGTGGAGAACTTTCAGAGGGAAAATTAGCAGGAGATAACTGATAACTGACATCCATCAAACGTGGCAGTTCGAAATTCCAACCACCTGAAGAAGGAGCGTACAACGGCCGAAACGTTGCGACAAAGATGAGGACAATAGTCCGACTAATGTAAATACTGTACATAATACCTCATCTCAGAAATATAGACATACAAACCTTTTATTTCATCCACCGGGGTAGATTGTTCTAGTTTCACCTCAACTTCGACTCCCACCATCCATATGATGTAAAGAAAGGGATCGTCTGCTGCTTACAACATCAAGCAAAAAACCTAGAAATATACCAACAAGAAATGGTTAGTATAAGTAGTCCTCTACAACGTAGCAACTACTCTGGGTATATGGTAGCAGCTCCAACAAACTGGGATAGAAGGGTACAACAGCACCCAGAAAATAACTTCAGTCTGCCTACCCTATGTGAAGGGATTATCAGAGAAAATACAAAGGATCTGTGTTTCATATAACATCCGGACAAGCTTCAAAAGTGGTTCAACACTTTGCAGATACCTCTTCCGAATAAGACCCCTCCCATAGAGGAGAACATGACTAAGGACTGTGTGTACGCCATCTCATGTAGCTGTGGTAGGAAATACAAAGGAGAAAAGGGCTTAAGAAGGTAAGACTACAAGAACATTGTAAAGCGGTAACACAAGGGGAAATGGAAAAATCGGGCATAGCTGACCACATATGACGGGAAAAGGGTAATTACCGCCCCCTGTGGTATGAAGTTGAAATAATAAACAAAGCATCACTGGAAAATATGAAAACTTAAAGAATCAGCACATATGCTAGGCCGCAAAAAAATCTGAGCCAGCCAGCCAGACAGCCAACCAACCAACCAAGCATAGATATGAATACAATATGGGAACCAGTATGAAGTGCTAGAGAAAAGCAATGAATAACAACAAAAATTGCAATATGAGCTCTGGTTAGAAAAAAAAAAAAAAAAAAAAAAAAAGGTTGCTGGGACATTAGGTTTATAAGTTCCAAAAATTCATACACAGATGTCCTCAAGGACACATGGCCCAGTGGATAAAGATGTTGTTAGATCCAGTGACTAGACTGAAAGAGTTGTGAGTTCAATACCAGCAGTGGTGAAACAAACTTGGAGAGGTGAGTTAAAGGGAAATAACTGAGACATCTGCAAGAAGCAACTAATAAAGGGTTCGATTTGAAATTCCAATCACCTGAAGAAGGCTGGAGTGTACAATATGTGAATATGGCAATGAAGATGAAGGTAACAGTCCAAATAATATAAGTAATCATAATACCTCATCTCGGAGATATAGTGAGATATATATAATTGTTTCTGTGTATTTTTAGTATGCATTATATTTTGAATGCATATGGTGGAGTAATGGATAGCAGCTTGGATTGATGGAATCGAAGAGTCATGTTCAAATTCCAGTCAAATCGATTACATTCACATATGTGCTAATACCTTTGGGAAAGGTATGAATTCTCTTCTTCTCCCCTCAGCTATGGGTAAATAGCAGGACAGACTTGGATGGTAACTGGTCTATCACAGAGAGAAATGGCAACCTACTGCAGGAAAAAAAAATCTGCCTTGTCAGTCATGTATCAAAAGATACATGATCGCCTAAGCGTGTATCATGCATGGCACATAACTGACTGATATCTTACATGTGTGGGAAAATACATATAGCATGTATATATGTATGTAATATGAATACATACACTTTATATTAGTATATGGATGTATTTTTGAGGTGACTGAAACTAGTTTAGGGGGAGGTAACTCTAATATTTTAGTCCTTGATATTAATGGTAAGTTTTGTGTAAATAGGAGTGTTTGTGTCTCTCTCTCTTTTGACAAAGATGCCTTTTCTTTTAAAAATGGGCCTATCCTTCTAAGTGCTCCTTCTCACTTGTTTCCTAGAAATGAGGTGAGAGTTGGATGGGTGCCCCTGCAATTTCAAGACTCAATTTACAGCATCCACCCCTGGTAGAAATCGATACTCTTATCACAAGTTGACAATTTAGTTCTATGTCTTTCCATCATATCCACTCCTTGTTTTCTGTTGTCACTGACTCCCACTCCACTTACTCATGGAAGCTTTGCTATGTGTTAGGTGGTGTAGGGTAGGGGCGGTTATGTTTCCCAGTTACTTGAGTAAAAAAAAAAAAAATCATTGGCACAAAACAGTGCTTGTCCATTGGACTTAGTACAATGAAATTTACAAACATATGGTGGGCCACACTTGAAGGAGAGTTTTTTTTTTTTTAAATCTGATTTATCCCAAGCAAGGCAGTAAAGCCACTAAGATACAAGGGATTACTGGGTGTAAAAGAATTAAAAAAAAAAAAAAATTACTAAGGAATGAGAACAATAGTAGAAGACTAATCAGGAAAACAGTAGATAATGATTGACAGTGCATTTAAATTTTTGAGGATCAAAGTCAACTGGAAAGCATGGAACTGGAAGAAAGTTCCACAAGTGGGAAGTGTGAGAAAAGAAACTGTTAGTATAGAACTTATGGTTACTCCCTGTATTTGTATTTTCCATGGAAATAAATAAGTTTCAGGGCATCACAAGTAATATAGGATATTCTGAAAGTAATTGAGGTAGGAAAAACTTTTGTGTGTCATATATCTTCAGGATGTAGTTGATCATGGCTCTCCACAACTTCCTACCTCTTCTTACTTCAATGTATAATGTTTTATAATCCCTCTTTGTCCCCACTCTCCCATCTGTTCACACACACACACACACACAC